ATCCCTTATGTCGAATTCCACCTATCCAGGCTTCTTTTACTTTTACGTGCACGCTAACGTGTTCACGGGGCCTCAGATTTTGTCCCTTTCAAACATCTAGACGTACTCTTGTCACCACCCACAAGTGGAAACAACGCTGGAAAACCCCGGAGAACATTCTCGACCTACACCAGGATTAAACCCCAGGCCTCATGATTAGTAAGCTAGCGCCTTACTCACTGAGCCTCCGCGGCGCTTTAACTGGCTAGAACAATAAAATGGAAGAACAATTATTTGTGCGGCGTTTCGAAGAGTATTTTCTCGAGGTTTTCAAGCAAGGTCACAGAAATAAATTAGTAAATGTTCTTCCATAATGTTGTTATTTATCGCCCAAGACGACACTTTCAACAAGCACCAACCTAATGATAAGAAAATCCTCACTTGAAGATTTTTTGGGGTTTCCATGGGAACAAAGTTGATTTAGCTTACGGTACGATATACAATTATTATTCCATGCCATTTTTTGGAGGGATTCCCATGGAAACAAAGTTAATTTAATTTAGGGTATACAATTATCATTCCGGGGCATATCTGAAACTGTTAAAAATATCTTTATGAATCTGTGTACAGAAACGATTTAAAAGAGTTATGCTTTAAATTATTAAATTATTCTTGCTTTTCTAAGTCCCAGAAATCAATACAGAATTTTGTAGATACACACCTTTATATTGTACAATTATCGGATGAATACCTTATGGGTTTCCATTTAAACGCATTTTTAGCAGATAGTTGTCAGTTTATGAGAGAGAAAAATGGGGTTTAACGTCCACTCGACACATACTATGTCATATAATGACTAACATATGGTACAATTTTATTTCAATAATTCACTTGCGCGTATAGGGGTTATTAGCAGAGGGGGGAAACCGGTAATTACAACACTTAACTCAATGACAAACCATATGATCTTAAGCGCATCCGTTAGACCATTCGGTCAGCCCCATGCCCCCGCTCGCTTGTCAGATTAAACCTTTTTTATATGCCGATTAATACATATTTATGTTTGTGTAATTCATATTGTGTTATCGGTCGACCCCCCTTTGGCCAAGGTCCCTTTGGTTGAAACGTTGTACATGAATGGTTTTTTTTTCATTCTTTGGCTATATTGTCTAAATAATGTTGGGTATTAAACATGCATTACTCATGGTGTGCTGAACACATAACACAAGATCCCACACATGGTCAAGTACAATAACTCCTGCAGTAATTATCAAAAATCATTACAGTTCCATAGACTTCAGGCCTAAAGAAACGTCTTCAATAGGCAGACTTAGCTCTTGCATAATGCATGTTTAAAACAATGATTTACAAAGAGACTAATTTAAATTAAAACGCCAAAGAACAGAAATAATTCAGTTCATTATCAGATCAACTCATTTTTTACACGGGACTAGGATGCCCTCGTCAATATGAATCATTGTTTGTCCTGTGTATTTCCAGTTAATTTACTAAATTACATTAAAACCAATTATGTCGCACTGCTGTCTTTCAGGAACAAATCTATTCATTTTATAAGAATGTTTATTTACCGAGACTATAATTATTGAATAATTATCTATTTTAATATCTGTGCAATTTTAATCTTGAAAATGCAAAGCTAATTTGTAGGCTCGGAATTCATCAATACTCAAAAGATAGGTTGTCGGGCAACAAAAGATACGCCCACGGCAGCTAAATCGTCCGGCGGTCGACAAGGGTTGTCGCATTTTTATTTTGTTGTAGAAATTGGAGGCATTTACAAGACAATTTCATACAGACCAGATTATAATTTTTGTCGGTTGGGGGTTCACAAGGTTCTACAAATTGAAACGAGGGTCATAACTCTGGAAGTAATTTACAGAAACTGTTGAAATTCGACAGGCTTTTTCGTTTTACTAATTTAAATAATGCATATAGCTGTCATACCGATCGAGTGATAACTTTTGTCATTCGAACGTTCTCAAGTTTCAACTAAGTGGAACAAGTGGCATAACTCTAGAAGTAATTGATGGAAATTGCTGAAATTCAATAGACCCCCGTTTCACAAATTTAAATGATGAATATAAATTTCATACATATCGGATAACTTTCATCAATCGAGCATTAACAAGGTTGAACAAAGTGAAACAAGGGCCATAACTCTAGAAGTAATTATAGTGAATTGCTGCAATTTAATAGACTTCTTCGTTTCACTAATTTAAATAATGCATATAAATTTCACAAAGATCGATAATAACTGTTGGCATTAGAGCGTTCACAAGGTTCAACAAAGTGAAACAAGGGTCCTAACTCTAATAAATGAAAATTGCTGAGGATTCTGCATAACCATTTCACAAAGATCGGATGATAACTTTTGGCGTTAGGGCATTCAGAAGTTTCATCAAAGTGAAACAAGGGCCATAACTCTAGGTGTAATTAACAGAAATTGCTGAAATTCAATAGGATTCTTCTTTTTTACTAATCTAATAAACACGTAGGAGATTCTTTATATATCAGACAGACGGACCGATGGTGGCGACGGCAATACGACGGTATATAAAAAAAAACTGTGTACGATTTATTTTATGTTTTAAATTGATTTGTAATATGGAGAAAACTGTAAACTTTTTACGGATGATATTGGTAATTATATTATGTCAGGTCTTGTACACGAGAACATTCTGGCTTTTTAGTACTGATCAAAGAGTTCTTCTTTGATAGATAGGCCTCACGGTGACAGCTTCAAATTTCACAATGGCCTATCTGAACTTTCGTATTTCATTTGAAATATATTTTTTTTAAAACAAATTTGTGTTTGTGTTTTACTCATACATCTATTATCTCAGAGTCTAACCGTAAGATATTTTGCCCCCCCCCTCCCGGGTTATAAATAATATTGTGACCTCTAGAAGGTTCACAACCTTGGTATTGTATACTTTTACACTATATGCGTACGGGAAGCTGTCAATTTGTCAGGCAGTTTCGGTCCGATTTCCAAAAAATTCAACTCAGTTGTCATACATCCATTATCTCAGAATCTTACCATAAGATATTTTACCCCACCCCTAGAGGGCCCATAACCTTGGAATTACATACTTTACACTATTTGCGTACGCGGAGCGGCCATTTCACCGGGCAGATATGGTCCGGTTTTCACGAAATTTTAACTCAACCGTCATTATGGTGTAACGGTTTTTAAAATCAGATAAAATTGTAACCTCTAGAGCGCCCACAAGCTAAAAAGGGGATTTTTCGTAAAATCTGGGGCTATACTCTAGGAAGTTAAAATCCAATATTATTCCAATATGTGCGAATATCGAAAGGGGCAGAGATCTTTTGGTAATAAACATACATTTTACCATGGACCTGTATTATAAGGTCCATGATTTTACATTTCATCAAAATCGGATAAAAATTCTGACCTTTAGTACACATGCTAAAAACATGATTTTTCGTAAAGCATGAAATTATGGTCCGATACATGTACATGTCAATATCGAAAGGAACCGAGATCTTAGCCATATAAACCTATATTTCAAGTTTCATCAAAATCGGGTAAAACTTGTCGTCTGTAGAGTGTCCACAAACCAATTGTGGATAGACGGACAGGGGTGACGACAATATACGTCTATATATATATATCTTATTACGAACATTACACTTTATCCATCAAATAAACGAAGACGGTAATTTATTCAGGAATATTCCTCACTTGAACTTCAAAAAGATACGTGAATTAAATTTTTTGAAAATTTCCAGAAAGGTATACCTATTAGTCGTTATTTTTTGTGGTAATCACATGTTACTCTATTTAGAATACAACATTCTCCATAAGAAATTACCAAGAATTACATTAAAGGGAGAGGGAGCTTATACGCCTAATTACCCTATTTCTTACCAGGACCTCATTATCATTTGACCCCAATCTGGCCGGTTCGTTTCAAAATGGATTAAGAACCCTGGTTAGGACCCTTGTTCACCCTATGTATTAAAAATAATCATCAATAATTAGAATTCAATATTGGTACATTTAAATCAGAATAGATGTTTTCTTAAGGTGAAATTATGGGCTACTGATATCAAAATAATATTTAAGACACAGTGAATATTTTAAAAACAGTTCCCGGCAAGTCAGAAGTAATGAAAATGACATGATTCACAAAAGACAAAAAGATAAACATGTAGAATGGATCAACCGTGTGCCCATTTAATTAGGACTGTTCACATATTTTATTGTACATAACGGATTAGACATTATAATAAAATGAATGAACGAAATGGAGTTTTAAGGCATGTCAGCTCCAACTGGCCTATAGTGTGCCAAACATCATATTGCTGAAGCAATGGCCTGGAAAATCCCTCTCTGGCCATTGCTGGATTGGCTTCTGATACTTGAGCTTTTGAGCGAGTGTGTCTATTCTTCCCGTTCAATCAAATCTATCCCATTTACAGCAACATGACAGCCCTTTGTTTAATCTGGGGTATTCCTTAAAACTTTAGACAGTGATTTAAGATATTAAAAATGATGAAAGTATTGTTCGTCTCCAAATAGTATTGTTTAAATTGTATCCGTGTTGATAGCCTTGTTTATCACGCAATTAGTTTTCCTGCAATATTCTGCTATGTACTGGTTAATTGGGCATAATAAAATCGTGAGTCATGATGTAACATTATGTAAACATATTTGGTCAAATTTGGAGCTCTGTTTAAAGCCTAATGATATTGTTACGCAGTTAGCTGTTGGTTGTTAATTGGATTATTGACCAGTCACAATTTGGAACAGAAATTTGCTTCCATTATAGCAGTGTTAAGTGGGATTAGCTCTAATCAAACGAAACACTGTGAGGAATATTGGTCAATTATATTAAAGGTTTTAAATGAATGTAAATAAGTTTATATACATTTATATGTGCTTTTGAACCATTTACAAAATGTACATTCAATTTAAGGTTTGGATGGCTTTTGATATTGCTGACATCAACCTTTTTTAAATTGTGCCTTTAATGCACATTACCAGATCTCTGTAGGTGAATGTAGATGAAAGACAACAACCATTAAAACAAAATCATTAAAAATTCATTGTCCTTTCTTTTTTATATACAATAAAATGTTCAGTTTAAATATACACAAACAATACATGTACGTGATACAACCCAGATGTAACAGTCAAAACAATTAAAATATTCCCTTAACTGTTAAAAAAATTCCTTTTGTTCACATTAACATAATGCTTTAAAATCAGTCTGGTGTGCAGTCTTGGGATGAGACTTTTTGTCTTAAAGAATTATTCAATCATCAGAATTAATTAAATTAATCCCAGCAGAACTGAAAGTTTTGTGCCACGCCAACAAAGATCTCTTATAATTATTCAGGTGTGGAGTCTTTAGATGGCACTTTTAATTTGAGAGTTAATTTGGATTTTCTAAAAGAAGTGTCCGAACCACTACTTTCCCCTGTCCCTGGTGAATAATGCTGTGGAACAAAACCTGCCAGTGGAGGGCGATATACATTAGCGTAATCATCGGTGTCTGATTTTTCACCAAATTCAAATGGATCAAACGATTTTTGAGAGGATTTTCGCTTTCGTTTTTGTTTGTCTTTGGTTTCCTTCTCTTTTCTTTCTGGAGTTCGTTCACTTAAAGACGACGATCCCTCCATGTCATAGGATTTGAGCGTCGGCTGTCGTTTAATTTTTATTTTGATGCCACCACCAGGATTTGTAATGGTACTGGTTAAAGCTACGCTTTCCTGGGAAGGACCAGGATAGGGTGGTGGCGGTGGAGGGGGATTATATCCTTTATCTGAATTATATTCATCAGTGTTATCAGAATGATCAGATTTACGTTCTATCACTACTGGACGATCAGGAACATAGTCACTATCATCATCTGCTTCTACATCAATATCATCATCATCTTCTTTATAATTTACTACGAGACTAGCTTCACGACGCGGAACGCGTGAGGTAACCATTAATTCTTCTCTTCTCCTTTCTTCTTCTAATCTACGCCTTTCTTCCTCTCGCTTTCTTCTCTCTATTCTTTTTCGCTTCTCTCTTTCCTTCCGTACAGCCTCTTCGCGTTTTTTCATTTCTTCTTCCCATCTTTGTCTGGCTAACTCCTCCTCTTGTTTTTGTTTCAGAAGTTCCTGAATTTGACGTCGTTTTTTCTCCTCTGCGTCTCTTTGCTGCTGAACTATTCTTTGCTTGGCTTCCATTTTTTCTCTGATTATTCTTTCTTTCTCCTCCTGTATTTTTTTCTCACGATCCAATATTTCTTGCACACGCACCTGTTCCATGAATTCTTCCAGAAGTGCCTCCCCACTTTTTGCACCATCAGCGTCAGATAAACTTACTAACATATCGTCCTTTAAGGGAGGGAAGATTTCTTTGAAATTAATCTCTGCCGTTTCATCTACCCGCACAGTTAAACTATCCCCGAAATATTCATACAGTTCTTGATACAATTCTTGAGGAGATTTAATGACAACATTTGCTCCTCCAAAAATAAAACCACTACTACTGTTATTACTGTTCATTGTTTTTGCCTCATTATTATTGTCATTTTTGGCACCAATATCATGTTCCTTTTTAAATTCTTCAAATCGATTCTTCAATAACAACTCGGCTGCCAGCTGAAAAAAAATAGTCAAATATTATAGGAGGATAATACATGTATAGTTGAATAAAAATTTGAATAAAAACATCAGATGATTGCCTTCGATTTAACATTTAAACAAATTCGCAAATGAAATGGGTTTTACCATTCAACTTTCTGCCCCAACCGGGCTACTGAAAACCATGTTCCTGTTCCTGAAACAACGACTTCGCGCTTACAACATCTGGACGTTACTAGGTTACTTTACAATTCCTGAACTTATAGCTACGTTATCTGCAGACACGTGATCAGTAGCGTCCAATCAGAGGCTGTGACATAGCGACCTCCGTGGAAACCTTGACATTGAACAAACCTTGAACTTTGCAACTCGATTATCACAGGTAGACATTTTAGCTGGAAAGCACGAGATTTGGTATTCACGACGATCGAGGAATATGATAGGCTTACAAGCTGGGTAAATACCCAATCGAAATTATTGCAGAAATATGCAGGGTATTACGTGAAGGCCTTGATAAGATTACGTAGTTAAAGCAAGATCAAGCCTTCTATTGAAGATGCTGAAATCGAGTATATGCCATGCATTGTGCTATGACTTTATGAGAGAAATTTTGCCAAGAGAGCATCGCTAAACGAACACCGTTAGAAAGTTAGATTGGTTTTTTGTACTATCCGCACAACTATTAACAAGCGGAAACCAGACCGGAAAATCCTGAGGTAATTTCTCAACCAAAGTCGGGATCAATCTAATGACTTCCAGGTCAGCAAGCCAGTGTCTTACCCACTGAGCCATCAAAGCTCCCAATAGTATTTTTGACACAGCTTCCAAACTACAACTTTTGCAAATGCTGTATCATACATGTTTAGAGAGGTTATCAAAAAACCCCTCCAAACTCATACCAGGCAAGGAAATGTAATGTGCCAAAAATTATTTCTTATACAGTGTTTCTTACCAGAAGAGCCCCATAAACCTTGTATGCGTCCGATCTTACTAGAGCATTACGTATAGATATATCCTCCATTGCTACATTTAAATGTGACCAGAATGTTGATAAATTTGGTAGGAGGATTTCTTCAATTGTCTGAAAAATTTAATAGATAACTGTTCTAAAATCTAACAAACTATCAAAACGTACATATGCTTTATGTTATATGTATGATTGTCGACCATCCTCGACTGATGGTCGACTATCCTCTGCAGATGATCTGTGAAACAACAATTTTTATTATTTTGGGTGATATATGGGGGATTAATTGAATTGCCAATTGATTATTGTCTTTAATCTGAAAGCTAGAAGATAAAAAAAATATGGCTGTCACAAAGAATTGTTTAAGTGATTAATAACGAAAAATTGATCCCCAAAAATGGGTAGGATTAATAGTAATTACACCTTGATTTTAGTACCATTAAATAACTAAGCACATTTTCCATGCATATTGACAAGTGAGAACCTACTTGCAAAATTCTAAAGTTTTTGTTCGTCCAACAGCTCAACAACTGTGGTCCCCACAACCAAAATGGATACAAGGTTTAAGAAAAGTACAACATGCTTGTTACCATTTCTCTTGATAATATTAAAAAAATATTCAACAATGTTTAACTTAATTCTTTGTTATCATTTGGTTGTAAACAAGCCAACAGTGAGGCTGATGTCCCCCGCCGAAATAGGAAAATAATTAGAGGACACATATAAATTTATCACAAATTATCTTTTACAAAGTATTGAACAATCAAACAGTATATCTTTACTTATAGTCTAACAATCAAAGTAGGAGAGTTATTGTTTTCCAAAGTCTCGACCAATCAAATTGCGTATCGCTCTGCTTACCCTGAGCAGAAAATGCTCATTATCAAACTTAGTCAAGGTATTACTGTAATGAAACTATACACCAAGTTTCATCATTCTCACTTAATTAGAACTAAAGTTATCGTGTCCCAAAGCATCAACCAATCAAATTGCTTATCTCTGCTTACCCTAAGCGGAAAATGCTCATCTTCGAACTCCATCAAGGCATTGACCTAATCAACACATACACCAAGTTTGAACATTCTAGCTCAATTAGGAAGAGAGTTATCATGCCCCAAAGTATCAACCAATCAAATTGCTTATCTCTGCTTACCCTAAGCGGAAAATGCTCATCTTCGAACTCCATCAAGGCATTGACCTAATAAACACATACACCAAGTTTGAACATTCTAGCTCAATTAAAAGTTATCGTGTCCCAAAGCATCAACCAATCAAATTGCTTATCTCTGCTTACCCTAAGCGGAAAATGCTCATCTTCGAACTCCATCAAGGCATTGACCTAATCAACACATACACCAAGTTTGAACATTCTAGCCCAATTAGGAAGAGAGTTATCGTGTCCCAAAGCATCAACCAATCAAATTGCTTATCTCTGCTTACCCTAAGCGGAAAATGCTCATCTTCGAACTCCATCAAGGCATTGACCTAATAAACACATACACCAAGTTTGAACATTCTAGCTCAATTAGGAAGAGAGTTATTGTGTCCCAAAAAGTGTGACGGACAGACAGACGGACGGACAGACAGACAGACAGACAGACAGACAGACAGACAGACAGACAGACAGACAGACAGACAGACAGACAGACAGACAGACGGACGAACCCATTTTAATAGTCCCCTGCTTTCTTCGAAAGGCGGGGGACAAATACGAATACCGGTACAGCACATTACTAGGACAAATTAAAGCAAATACATTATTTATCCCTAAGTTATCAAGAGATAAATTTTTAATAATAATGAAAACAAATCGTTTTCAGTTATCAATTGATTGAATAATACATGTGCAACACATAAATATAACTAGAGCATCACTAACGCTGCAATATACGTCCACATTCCTGCTTTCATTGATATGGTACTTTTTTAAAATGAAGAGCATGATGTATAAAATAGCTGCAATGACAGAAATATGACAAGAGGCAAAGAAGGCTAGGCGTTAAGTTTATTTTGCCAAATTTAGAGACTAAATATTAACAAAAAAGTGGGTGTGACAGAGCCCCAGGGGGTCAGGGAATGCACCAAAATAAATAAATGCTGGCTTTACAGTATAAGGAATAAAAAGGCAAAGTTCCAAGATCATCTGTTCATAATTGCAGCCTGTAGATGATAAATACAAAAATTGGGAAAGGCTCTGTCCCTAGGGGTTGGATTTGGAACAATATAAATAGGCACCACCCTGTTATTGAAATGGTTGATATGCTGAATTTGAACATAGTCTGTTAATTATAGCAATCTGTAGAGTATTTACAGACAAAAAAGTTGCTGTGGTACCACACCCCTGGGAGTCAGGACATGTACCAAAATAAATAGTTGTTATCCTTACAGGAATAAATATGCCCAGTTCCAAGGGGATCCATTCTGAATTCCAGTCTGTAGACAAAAAACACAAAAGTAGGGGCGTGGCTCTGGCTCTCTATGATGTATCATTCCGAATTGGATCCAAATCTGTTAATAACTGCAGCCTATATATCATTTACAGACAAAATATTAACAAAAAGTGGGTGTGGCACCGCCCATTGGGGAGGGTGTCATGTACCAAAATCAATAGTTGCTGTCCTTAGGGTATCAGGAATAAGTATCCCAAGTTCCAAGATATTCCATTCAGAATTTTGGCCATCGGACGCTAAACACAAAAATTGGGCGTGGCTCTGCCCCTGGAGGTCGGGACATTCACCAAAATCAGTAGTTGCCGCCCATAGGCTATAAGGAATACATATGCAAAGTTCCAAGCTGATCCACACAGAATTGTGGCCTGTATAAGATAAACACAAAAATTAGGCGTGGCTCTGCCCCTGGGGGTTGGGACATGCACCAAAATCAATAGTTGCCACCCTTAGGCTATAAGAAGGAATATATAATATATGCCATGTTCCAAAACAATCCATTAAGAATTGCAGCCTGTAGGTGAAACACAGACACACACAAAAATTGGGCATGGCTTTGTTTCAGGGGGTCGGGCTTGGGCATGCACCAACAATAATAGATGTCATCCTTAGGGCATGAAGAATACGTTTTCAAGACAATCGATTAAGAATTGCGGCCTGTAGGCGACACACAGACACACAAAAAGAAAATGGGTGTGGCTCAGCTGACTAATACAGTTAGAAAAGGTGAGAGAGAGAGAGAGAAATGGGGTTTAACATCCACTTGACACATACTAGGGTTATTTCGGGACTAACGCATGGTTCAATTTTTTATTTCAATACTTCGCTTGCGAGTAGGGGTCTTTAGCAGTGGAAGGAAACTGGAGGACCCAGAGAAAACCCACGAGGTTGGACAGGCAACCCTACTCCTTTTCACGTATAACCAGGGAATCGAAACCCCGCCAGTTGACTCAATGACAGATTTAGAAAACGTAATTTGAGTGAGAGTGATTGTTAGTGTGAGACTTCCTTACCAAATTTGATTTGAATCCATTAAATAGTATACAAGAGGAAGCAAAAAAATGCTAGAAACCATCGAATGGTTTTGAAGACGTCAAAAAATGTTACTATAAATTCAATAATTTATGGGGACAGTGTAGCTTACATGTTATTTGAACATATCTGAATTTATCAAGATCAACATGGACAGAATAGTGTGACATAACCTTAATAAACATCAATCGATAAGGAAAATTGGTTCCATGGCAATGAGATTTTGAATATTGCTTTTAAGATCATTCTCTCCAAACCATTCATTTTAAGAAAACATAGCTTTGTGGGAAAAAGCTCTCACAAATGCAAAAAGTCTTATTCTTTTTCTAACCTTTAATTCACTTTTAAGAAATCAGGTTTGTTACAAAGCACGTTTTTCTAAAGATAAGGATAATTTACTATTCATATGATACAATGCATTTTCAAAAAAAAAATGCAAAATTCTAGAAGTAAAGGTCTCTGGGGTTTTGAAATTAACTGAAGCATTCTACTAAAGAGAAAAACAGTGTACAAAGCATCTATTGCATTAAAATATCTTTACATGCTTATAAATTATAAACAGAAGCCATTCCGAATTCTTATGGAAACCTACTGACTTTTCTGTATCATACATATATCTAAATATATATTCAAAGCATTGTGATAATTTCTTATTCTTGCTATTTTTTAACACATTATTTATCACCTATTTTTTAAAAAAAACAACAATAAAAACCATGCCATTTTGGAGTTAAAGGAGCTAAATCGTTAACAATTGGGACCTAGAAATTGACAAAAGTGGGTTGCAACGCATATAATACTGTAATATGAATGTATATAAACTGATTTACATTCAATGGTTTCCGTTTTTACTCCAATTTCAAATCAGTTATGTTCGGCGAAATAAGCCAGCAGTCTCAAGCGAGTGCAAATTTCTAGCGTCTGGTTATTCCAGCCTACATTCGCCGTTAGATTTGGTGCAATGTGTCTAGCCTCGTCCCTCAAGTCTCTTGATACATCTGGGGCTGAAGCGCATTATGGTACACGATTCGTGTACCAATGGTAAAATGTTTATTTTGTCTTAAATATTGGATATCAAAAGCCCATCTTTTTCCGGTAAGATCACAACATGAATGTTGATTTAATTTGACCAATAAATCGTGTTTTTAATGTTGAAGATTTTGGATGATATTGAGTTAGAGAATTAGCTACTTTAAAGGAAGAGTTTTTCTACATGTGTATGACAGTAACACAGACAAATTGATGAAATTATCTATTTGTTTTGTAGAAATATTGTTGTTGCAACATTGTTTTCGAATTTATAGACAAGGAATAGACAATCTGATTAAAATACAGATCTATATTTCGTTTCATTTTTTTATACTTTCGATGGCCTACACTACATGAAGATCTGACAAGTTATAGCGATAGGTCACGTCAGGGGACAAAAGACCGACTTATGACCCTTTTGACGTCAGACATTTGATTAACCAATCAGCATTGATGTTACTAGTGGATTACCCACAGTTCCGTGAAAAACACACCTAAAGCTCGCAGTAACAGGCCGTTTCATTGGCTTATCCCTGACACCATTCAGAACACGAGTTAAATAACAACTCTTCCAGATCCAAGTGTAGTAAAGACAAGTAAAACGAAATTTTGAACTATAAAAACGAAACGAAATAGGATCTGTGTTTTAACCAGATTGAGGAATAGAGAAAAATGATGGCATTATATTGTATTAATTAATATCTTTGGCAAGGTATTAGATTCACATATATGTACTTAAATCAAGTTAGCGAATGAGTGGCATATTGTTACATAAAATGAGTTATAATTTGGTAAACAATAGCTGGTTCTATGTTACAGATTACACGTGATTGAAAATTTACCCATTGCATCATTTGATTTAAGGGACCAATCATATCAGTAATTGCACAGGTTCAGGGTCATGAATAGGCTAGTCTGTGCATGATGTCCATATGTCCTATAAAAGAAATCATGGCAAACTTTTAAGCCAAATTTCCTAGACAGCAGCTTGATTCCAGAAGGGAAAAGATGTAGCAATTTCTATCAAAAGACTCAGCCTAGTGAGTCTGGCTGGCTAGTGTTTGTGAATGACCTTAGTATTGTAATCTATACTATGCTTGTCTCCATGTATCCAGCTGTGTTATATAAAATGTAAAAACAAACTGTTGCATTGTTATAACTGCTGGAAAGACAAGCGTCTTAAGAAAACAGTAAGAAGTAAATACGCAACGTGAAGGGGAAGCAAAGATAACCAGAGACAAATTCTAGACGATCACAAGGCTACTAAGATATGTAGTAAGAAAAGATGCATGGGTTGTACGATACGTAGGATGTGGCGACCGGTTTTGGAATATCCCGCTCTCCACGTCTGACAGAAAGGCCCATGGTGCTACACTTTAACAAATATTATATAAGGTTATGGTACTATAGTAAAATATGAGAGACAGCTGTCAGAAATTTATAAAGAGTTTTAAAATTAGAAGGCTCTGACGGTGTTTAAATATTTATGTCATAGATGTTTGAAGTGGTACTACCATTTTGGGCCACAATTGGCGATTGTTAAAATATATGAAACTCCTCCCTAACTTCATTGATATACATGAAAAAGGCATTGATATACTACTTAGAACCCCAAAATCCACAGGAGCGTCACAAAATTATAGATCTTTTTCTAAATTGATTTTAAAAATTAAACTGGCTTTTTATGTTTACTGTATAGTTTCAAAAGGACTTTAATAGTAATTAATTTAAGTAAAATTTTAAGCATATTTTTGTCATATTTTAAGGTTTAGCAGTACTTAATCCAGCAAGAAAACTGATATTAGTATTACTGGTACTAAAATTGATAGGATAATCTGAATTTTGATATGTTTCATCTTTCAATTTAAACAAAACTGTAAACTTTTTTTATACACTATCTGAATTTTTAACAATTTCAAATTAACCGAGAAATTGCAGAAGGTTTGATCAATAAATCTCAAAATCTTTGACAATGGTTCCGTGATGACTGAAGTAAACCCACAAAAGATAGGTTGCCAGGCAACGAAACATATGCCCAAAGCAGCCAAATTGTCCGCACATTTGACAAGAGTTGTCGCATATTTATTCCTTTTTAGATTATGGGAACAGTCACAAGACACCAATATTAATTTCATTCATACAGACTGGATGAAAACCTTTGTTGAAAGAGCATTCACAAGATTCTACAAAGTGAAACAAGTGTCAAAACGCTAGAAGTAGTTAACAGAAATTGTTGTAATTAAATTGGCATCTTCGTCTCACTAATATAAACAACATATAAATTTAAAAAAGATTGAATAATAAATGTAGAGTGTTCACAAGAAATTGTGGACAAATGGATGGACAGAGTTGACAGCAATATACGACCACATTTCTGTGTGGGTGTATAATAAATTTTGTATGACTCTGAATTCCAATTAAGTTTCCTAAAAGGTCTCTCTTTTCTTTGAATACTGTTTTGCGTCATGACTAACTTATTTGTACTTTTTAGCTGATATAACAAATTACTAATCATTAATTATTAATACTTATATCATTATAACCACTGACATTTCTAAAAGAACTACTTATTTTTTATTCCCCACATTATCATACCATTGACTGTTGTTATCAATGGCTACGAGTCAATAAACAAAGGCACACAGAGGATAGAGAATAATTAGGGCTGTCTTTGTCTATCAAATGGTATATCATCAAATATTCATTTAGACACTCTAAATATTCTACCATGTCACTTACAGAAAATGAATAATTTATTATTTGTCTATCATTCTTGTCCAATATACCGGTAGACAAATCAAGAATAACACCTTTTTAATAATAGTTGCCAAAAATCCTAAAACTCTACCACCTCAACTTCTTTTAACTAAAAGAGTGTGATTTCTGAATTTCTTTATTTCCCTTTTATAAGAATTCAAGACAGTTAACACTTTAAGTGAAGACCACCTGAGGATTCAACTCCTGGAAAAATGACAACACAAGGATATCTACTCATACCGTAAAGTCTCTAAGCGTGGTGTGAGTGATATAGGAATACCTTGCAAACTAAAATATTGTACAAGTTGAATCTGTTATAGGAATATCAGTCCAAAAATCGTTCAGTATTTACAAAGATGATGAACCGAAATTCCACCGATTTATAAACAGATGGGCTTGTTTATAATATAATCCAATTGAATCCAAGCCAGGAGATTGATATATTGATTTAGTTTTCTCAATAAAATGCTCAATTATCAATCTGTGTACATATTAGCATGGATTAAACTGTGAGAAATTTAATATTTTCCGAAAAATGCAAAGGATGCCAAAAGATATAACACGCAGTTGCCATGCAAGATACGCCAACATTTTGCAAGACATAGACAGAGAACAAGCTAAACGGAAAAGTGATTTTTCGTATAATAAGGGCCATAATCCAGGAAGTTAGGGTTTGATTAGCCCAAATATCAAAAGGATCCCAGATCTTTGGGACATAAACATATATCTATAGTTTCATAAAAATTAATAACCAGCGGCTGCCAGGCAGGATACGCCCACATTTTCGAGAGATGGATAAAAAACAAGCAAAAACGAAAGTGATTTTTCCTACAATCAAGGGCCATAATTCAGGAAATTACAATTCGATATGCGCAAATATCGAAAGGAACCGAGATCTTTGGGTTATAAACTTGCATTTCAAGTTTCAACAAAATCGGATAAAAACTGTGACCTCTATAGGGTCCACAACCTTGATATACCATATTTTTACGCTATTTGAGAACAAAGGGCAGCCAGTTGTCCTTAGGGTGTAACGGTGATATAATAATACGTTTTTTAAATCGGAGAAAAATTATGACCTCTATAGGGTCCACAAGCTAAAAACGTGATTTTTCGTACAATCAGGGGCCATAATTCAGGAAGTTACGTTCCGATATTATGCACGAATATCGAAAGGAACCGAGATCTTTGGGTTATAAGCATACATTTCAAGTTTAAACCAAATCGGATAAAAATTGTGACCTCTACAGTGTTCACAAGCCAAAAAACGTGATTTTTCGTACAATCAGGGGCCATAATCCATGAAGTTACGGTCCGATAAATGCCAATATCGAAAGGAACCGAGATTTTAGGGTGATAAACCTATATTTCAAGTTTCATTGAACAGGGGCGGACAGGGGCGACGACAATATACGTCCACATGAAAATGTGGGCGTATAAAAATTGTGACCTTAGAGGATCCACATCCTTGGCATTACATACTTTTACACTATTTGCGCATGTGGAGCAGCCATTTTGTCTGGCAATTTATGCCCCTTTCAAAATTCACTGTCATTAGGTTGTATTGATGATATTGTTGAAAGTTTTTTAAAATCGTGACCGCTAGAGGATCCACAAGCTAAAAACGTGATTTTTTGTACAATCAGGGGTCAAAATCCAGGAAGTTGAGGCCCGATATGCGCGAATATCGAAAGGATCCAAGATCTTTGAGTTATAAACATAAATTTTAAGTTTCACCAAAACCGGATAAAAATTATGACCTCTAGAGTCCATAAGCGAAAAACATGATTTTTCGAACAATCAGGGGCCATAATCCATGAAGTTACGGTACGATACATGCCAATATCGTGGGGAGATAAACCTATATTTCAGATTTCGTCAAAATTAAATAAAAATTGTGACCTGTAGAGTTTCCACAAACAAATTGTGGACAGATGGATGGAGGGACAGGGGTGACGACAATGACAATATACGTCCACATAAAAACATGGGCGTATAAAACCAAATCAAAGAGGCAATTATAAAAAATTTACACCTGACACTAATGATCAATTATGTAGAATTCCATGCAATAATTACTGTTCTATTAATAGTATAATTACCTTATTTCCGAGGGCTATTAAACCCATTATAGCACCATAGTGAGAACAGAACGGCTTGTTTAAATCAAACAGTACATCCTTTAGTTCTTTGACTGTATTATATAATAAATGATTTAAGGGGTTACTCCACTTTCTGTAAAAAATAAATATGTGTAAATAGAGTGGTGAGAATTTAATGCCCATGTATTATATAACAAATAAATTGTTCAATACATTACATGATGATGTCCATACGGCTCAGTAACAAATTATTGATGATGGGGTTCTTGTGTGTTGTCTAAATAATTAAAGAGTCTATAATCTATTGCTTTCACACAGTAATAATGGAACCATGATCAAATAGTCCATGATCACAGGGCTAGGGTAATGGTAATGGTATGTAATCATTACATGTTTTGAATGAAATAATGAAAATGGAATTAATTTAATTCCAAAAACCTTGTAATAGTAATAGGTAATTACATTTCAATTACATTTTATAGCAAAAATCAATATCAAAAAAGATCATGAGCCTCACATTTTAGCATTAAAAAAGGTAATTGGTGTCTATTTGACAATTCCAAAACATTTGAATCAGGGCTGGGCGGAGTCCAAATTTTGGCTTAAAAAGAATAAACTAGAATAAACAAAAATTCATAGCATATACGCTTAAAAATGAAAGATAGTCATGTTTACCCAACATGACACTACAGAATTGTCCAATATTTTAAATCATCTTTACTATTTTCATGCAAGAAAATGATTGCAGATGCAGTTTCTTTACATAAAGCCATTAGTCTCTGTTCATATATGAGTCCATAAGGATTACAAATTTCAGAGAGAGAGAGAGAAATGGGGTTTAATGTCCAGTCGCACAAATTAGGTCATTTCGGGACTAACATATGGTTTAATTTTATTTCAATAATTCGCTTGCGCGTTGGGGTCTGTAGCAGTGGGAGGAAACCGGAGGACCCGGCAAAAACCCACGCGATTGGACAGGCGACCCTACTACTTGTCACGTACAACCAGGGATTCAAAACCACGCCAGTTGACTCAATGACAGGCCTTATGATACAGCACGCACGTGCTAACCATTCAGCCATCCACCCCCCCCTTAAAAATTCCAGTTTGTAAAAGTCATCACAATCACTAATCAAAACCCTGCTTAAAAAGTTCAGTTTTAAAATGAAATGAAATGGGGTTTAACGTCCTACTGTTCTGCTCCTATACTGGGCTAATGAAGACGGGCATACGCCATACAGCGTGCTATGAGGGAAATTTTGCCCGGGCAGCGGCACTATCGCCTACTCTTATATCGAATTCCAACTGGCAGGGGATCTTTTACGTGCATTCCAATATATACATGGGACCTCGGTTTTTCGTCTCATCCGAAGGACTAGACAGCTGTCCTTGTCAGGCCCTCCGTCCTGCATCACTGACAAGGGGGGAACCACGCCGGAAAATCTGGATGAACTTTCTCGGCCAATGCAGGGATCGAACACCCGACCTCCAGGTTAGCGAGCCAGCGTCTTACCCACTTAGCCACGTGATCCCCCTCAGTTTTAAAAGTCATCACAGTCATTATATATAACATTGCTTAAAAAGTTATGTTTTAACAAGTTTTTAAAAGCTGACCATAGCAGGCAAAATGATAAGTGGTATCGCTAAACAAAATCGACGTAAGTGCGAATCAAATATTAAATTGATTAGCAGACAGTTATCAAATTTAAGGGAATCTGCGAATCAAGTTTCTTGTGCCAAACTAAGCGTGAAAAAATCTTTAACAAACATGATTCACCATTCCACTCCATACAGACATTTTAATCCCCTTGATGTCGCTCGACGAGATTAAAAGTAATTAAAGATTAGTCAATGAACTAATTGTAAGCTAACTTTTTAACAGTCATTCAATTCACTATCTAACTAAAAATTAGTACAAACGTTAAATTTGATAATCCTGTAAATATACAAGCTCGATAATTATCACAAAACAATAATTTTTATCTGTAACCATTACCCTTCGTAAGAATTGACCCCGTTTCCATCCGGCATCCCATTTGCCATCACACAATATTTTAATCATTTTATCGCATTACGAAAACACCTCCCACCCACAATACACAAATAAACATTAGTTGTATACCGGTAGAAATTATAGCCTTTAGAGTTCGTTCAATACAATACCGTGAAAATTTTCCATTCAATCAAGAGCAATTGCTAATCAATTTCAGATTAGCACTTTTTTTATCATATACCCTGACCCATAGGATGATTTGCTTGTTAGTTGGACTAGTAATTGTTAATCTGAGATCTGAAAGTTCTAGCTGGGATGTATCGTAGGAGTACGTACATCTTGAAAGTAGTGTGATGAGTCTTCAGAATAGAAAGGGCTAGGTATGTTAAAGAGAGGATATTGTTGTCCGTAATGGGAGCATTTACATGACACCAAAAACTAATCAAGAGTAACAACCCATTAATTAATTATCATAAATAGGATTCGTCATCTCTTAAACACTGTGTATCAATTTAAAGTCGATCAAGCGATAATATTAGCCTTTTGAGCATCCACAAGCACTTGTAAATGACGGACGGTGTGACGATAACATACGACCACAATTCAATCTGGGTGTATAGGACATGATCTGAAAACACAAACAACTTACAGCACTATTTCTCCTAATAATCTAGAAGCATAATCTCTCAATGACCAATGATCATTCTGGTTATTAAAGGAGGCAGCTACTGGTTCCGTTAAATTATACATTACAGCTTGAACTAATAAATTTAACTGAAATATAACATTCAAAATTATTAGATTTTCACAAATATAGATTAACTAAAGTTGTAAATGAAATGAGGTTTAATTGGCAAATGAAGACGGCATATGCCATAAAATGTACTATGAGGGAAATTTTGCCTGGACAGCGGCACTACGGCCTACTCCTATATCAAATTCAAACTGCCAAGGGATTTTTTACAAGCACTCCAATGTGTGCACGAGACCTGGTTCTTTCGGCCCATCCTAATGACTATACATTGCCTCCTGCCAGGGCCTCTGTCCTGCACCACTGACAAGGGGGAACAATGTCAGAACAGGGCTCTATAAAAGTTGAGTGTGCCTGCGCACACACTTGAAAATGTGCCTGCAGGGTCATACTGAAACACAGGGATGTAGCCATGATTTGGTGAGTGGTGTAAAAATTTTTGGGAGGGGGGGGCGTGGTCTTTTATGAAAATTAAACCCTTCTTTGTGTATTTTCAGAGCATCTGCTGCCTTTTGTATTTGGTTCAGTGCAAATCAAATTTCCATTTATATATTCAAATTTTACCAAATTCACTTAATTTTCATCAATGATACAGGGATCTAAAAACTTTTTGACACCACCCGACCGAGCATAAAATTGTCCCGCCCCACTCTGTTTCTCTGGATAGATAAGTTGAGGACCTTTCGGTATTTGTTGTTCTGTTGGGTTTTTTTTTCAAATATTACTTTATTACTTTTATTTGAGTACAACGAACTATGACAATTAATGTTGGTGAAGAATGTCCTGATCAGTGTCTTGATTGTTGGAAGTTTTTAATAAGTGAGTTTATAGTTTTGGTTGTGAGATAATGTAAATTCATTAAAATGTTTTGGGGGATGGATTTTCAGTTGTATGGGTCTGGAATTGTATTGTCCGGATTATGGTGTTTTATTTTAGTGGTTGAAATGTCTTAGTTCTTATATGGGTTTACTTTTAATATTTTTTGGTATAGTTGAAAGGATAACTCGTTGGACTCTTTATAGTTCTGAAGGTGGTCTCTTTCTGAAATATTGTTTATCAGGTGATTAGTAATTCTTTGTCCTGGTTGGTTATTCAGAAGTTTAGCTGGGATAAAACTAAATTACACGCATGCATCAGTACCACATGTTACAGATTTAGTGAAGGTCAATACCGGCTCTTTTCCACAAATGGGTAAGCTATTTAATTTAACTTTCTTGTAATAGATGACTGCAAGTGGACTGTGAGTTTCATGAGTGTTTGATATATAATTATATATGTAATTCAAATACTGTAAGGTAAAAATTGTAGGATGTGTAGCCAATAGAACTGTTGGTTACGAATATATGGATAATGGCAACTATTGTATTTTCAGGGCCAACTTGTCGAGCATAAATGTATTTTGTGTTATAGTTATGTGTAGTACCAACAGAAATGGTGTTTAATGGTTATGGTGAATTGAAATACATCTAGATCGACCAACATCGACTACGCGCTTACGCGTTTCATTTAATTGTTTTAAACTGTATCATGTGTCATTTGTGGATTATATAAACTTATTTAAACCTTATCGTGTTGTCAATCAAGAAATCTATTTTCCCGAACTAAGCAGGTTCAATCTATCAACTTTACCACACCATTGCAGGTGATGGAAAGGGTAGGTCTGCAATAATGGAGCCCCCAGGGAGGAGTAGATTTTCTTGGTTGTACCAGTAACAAGTTGAACTGTTTAGTTTTCAATTAACTTATCGTTAGACTTTAAAGTGAATCCGATGGCGTTTAATTACTGACATTCAAATTTATATGCACATTATCATCAAGCTTGAATTCTCGTGACTTTGTGACAGTGTTTAACCACTGGAACTGAAATTATAACAGATTCTGGATGAAGATTGGAACTGTGTAACAGTGAATATTGAACATTAATATTATGAACTATTGATTAATTTAGTGTTAATTTGATTAATTTAGTGTTAATTTGTTTGTTTTCATTTATTTTTAGTGTCGGTAAACCTGGTATGTATGGTTGTAAGTATGGATGTTGACAGCACTAATAAATAAATAGGTCAAGTTTAAATAAGTTAGGGCATAAAATTCCGTAACTATTGATAATCTTAGAACATCATTCAATACACATTGCATTATACTAAAATATATAACAGTTATCCCAGTAACACTATAACTTGTATTGTCTTTATTTTATCAACAGTGGAGTTTTTTTTTTATGTAGAGTTTAGAGTAGTTTGGTCAGTCGATTGGTTTGAATATGTCGGAGGAAGAAGTTGTGGTCTTGGGTAACACACTAAGAAAGTTGGGTCTTTTTCCAAAGCGTATAGGTAAGACTGAAGATGACGTTGCTGAGTGGATGGAAGATGTTTTGAAATCTAAAGGTAAGTGGCCGGTTAAATCGGATGATGAAACAGAGTCGTCTACTAAATCAAGACCACCAGTTAATCCGATGCCGAAGTTGTCAATGTTTTATGGTGAACCAGGAAAAGGTGAAGTTAGTTACGACCTTTGGAGATACGAAGTAGATTGTTTAATTTCAGAAGGTGTATATGATAACCATGTAATACTGTTGGCTATTCGCCGATCACTTAAAGGGGAGGCCGGTAAGGTTATAATGCGGTTAGGTCCGCATGTTGATGTTAAAACTGTCTTAGCCAAATTGCATAGTGTTTACGGTACATGTGAAGAAGCAGAATCTTTAATCGGACTCTTTTACAGTGCTAAACAATATCCATCTGAAACGGTTACAGATTGGGCATGCCGGTTAGAAGATATATTCGCAAGAGTAACTCGAGAGGGTAGTCCAGATCCTAAAGAATCCGATGAGACATTAAGGAATGTATTTTGGCGTGGATTGTTGCCACACTTACGTGATTTGTCTGCTCACAAATATGATAAATCAACAAGTTTCGACACACTACGTGTTCAACTTCGCCGTATAGAGCATGATGTTAACCAACGAAACTTATCAGCGAGTACCGCTACTTCGAAGCCAAATCCTTTTAACATGATACATACAAAGTCTTCTAATTCTGAATTTCAGGAACTTAAAGGGATAGTTCACAGTATTTCTTCACAAGTTAGTGGATTGAAGGATCAAGTTTCGCAATTAGCTTATAAAGTTGACAGACCTAAGGTTCCACGATGGCAGTCACAAGGAAATGATTCAAGAGGTGAGATGTCAAATAATTTTAGTAGTAATAACCGGGATAATCGGCGTAGTAGTCAAGGACCGGGACCCAAGTGTTGGGCTTGTGGTCAGTACGGTCATATTAGGTTGGGTTGCAGAGCAGCATTTAACCAGAATCGTTCTTTAAACGTTCACAACCTCAGGCCAAGGGAAGCGCCCTGGGGTACTCCACGCAGAGACTTCCCAGAGCGACGTTGAAATCGAATTTTGTAGTTGGTGAACCTAATGAAGCCAATGTTAAAGTTGAGGGAAATTGTTGTACTGCACTTTTAGATACTGGATCAACTGTGTCTACTGTAAGTGAAGAGTTATATAATTCTAAATTAAAACATTTACCTTTACAACCGCTTAAAACTATGTTGGATATAGAATGTGCTGATGGTAAACCATTGCCGTATAAAGGATATATTGAAGCAGATTTACAGTTTTCAGAATTGACAGATGAAACAATAACTTGTATTTTATTAGTAGTTCCGGTGAGTAGATATAATTCATTGGTTCCGGTTTTACTTGGAACAAATGTATTGACTCTTCTGATGAAACAATGTAAAGATGAACATGGGAAATCTTTTCTCCAAAAAGCGAAATTAACCACTTCTTGGTATTTATCTTTTCGTAGTATGGATTTATCAGAAAAAGAATTAGTCAAACGAGATTTCAGTTTAGGAATAGTGAAAAGTGCCTCAGTCAATAGGATACTAGTTCGTCCAAATTCTCGTATAACGTTACCATGTTATGTTGATAAAAAGTTACGATACCCGAAGGTGTCGGTGATGGTACACCCATGTCAACGTTCCAGTATTTCATCTGATTTAGATGTTTCTCCATCCATAATGATGTATGATTACAATAATACAGATTATATTTCAGTTAACGTTTCAAATGTGTCTACAAATACTATTGTTATTTCACCCAAAGCTATTGTGTGTGAACTACAGCCGGTAAATATTGAAGATAACGAAGTTACTTCAGATGGATCCAATGCCTCGGTCTTAAATAAAGTAGAAATTGACGAAAGCGATTTATCAGAGGAAGAGATAATTCAAGGTAAGAACCTGTTGTTAAGTTTTGACGATATTTTCGCACATAATGATCTGGACTTGGGACATACATCCAGAGTACAACACAGAATTGAACTTATAGATGAACAACCGTTTAAGCAACGGCACCGCCGTATACCTCCATCGATGTTTACTGAAGTAAAAGATCATTTAAAGCAGTTGTTAGCATGTGGTGTTATAAGAAATTCACATAGTCCATGGGCATCAAACGTGGTACTTTGTCGTAGAAAGAACGGTAAATTACGCATGTGCACTGATTTCAGACAATTGAATAATAGAACGATCAAGGATTCGTACGCTCTTCCCAGAATTGATGAGTTATTGGATCATTTAGCAGGTAACAAATTTTATTCAAAGTTAGATATGAAGTCCGGATATTACCAGGTCGAAGTTGCCGAAGAACATAAGGAGCGTACCGCTTTCACAATTGGTCCGCTTGGTTTTTATGAGTATAACAGACTTCCTTTTGGTCTTTGTAATTCTCCCGCGACGTTTCAGAGGCTTTTAGAAGATTGCTTAGGAGATCTTCATTTGACGATATGTGTAGTGTATATTGATGATTTGATTATTTTTGCAGATTCATTCGAGGAGCATCTACAGCGCTTAAATAAGGTTTTAGAGCGTTTACGTCAGTGTAATTTAAAATTAGCACCTGATAAATGTAGTTTCTTTAAAAGACGTGTAAACTATGTTGGACATGTTATCTCCGAAGCGGGTATTGAACCAGATCCAGAGAAAATTGAGGTGATCCAAAAATGGCCACGCC